CTCTCTCTCTCTCTCTCTCTCTCTCTCTCTCTCTCTCTCTCTCTCTCTCTCTCTCGTCCTGTTTTTCTTTATTACTCATTTTGTCAGTCCTCATACCCCTCTCTCCAAAACCTCAGCCTCCCACTGGCTCGTGTGGTTCTGCTGTAATGCACTCGGTAGCACTTCGTCATCACATTAGGTTAGAGCAATTTGTCGATGATGCAGATTCCAAGGTTACTTTACCTCTCGGGTTGCTTGTCAGAAGATGTTTAAATACACACCGCTGCATGGCTCACTGTTCTGGAACAAAGCTAAAGACGCTAATTTGTCCCATTTACGTTTCTCTTCTTCGTGTTATAAAAATAAAGCCCCTGGCATTATTGGGAAATGACATTTTTATGGTGAATTTTGAAATGTTCTGTCACCCACATGTCCTTGTGTTCAGATGAACATAAAAGTGGATGATGAAGGTAAATCAGAAGGTTTGGTCAGCTTACACCATACAAAAGTTCCCTCCACGCTTACTGCTGACATCTGTAGAGTTATTCTGTTTGCATGCATGAATTTGTAGTGTGTTCATCTCTGGATAGCAGCTTTTAGCTGCTCTAAAGTTTGCATAGAATTCATGTGCCAAGAAGATTTCTATACATGTGGTTGACCTGTGTGCACCTCTGCAATAGATTCGAACAGCAGAAACCAATGAAAAAAAAAGATTCATTTTGGACAGTACAACACGTTCCGTTACACACAGTTGATTTGAATCTAAACCACAAATCCTAAATGCTCAGACCTCCAGTCAAACTGCTCTGGTTTYCTGTGCAGCGTAATCTCCCATAATTTATCTTCAATTATAACTCTGCACACACAAACTGACTGATGCTGCAAAGGACTGTGTTGTTTAGCAACTCCTGAAATTCACTTGAGATATTTGCAGTCCTCTTTTCAAAATGGTCTTTGTCTGTTTTGATATTCAACATCTTTTTACTTCTGTTGTCATCTGTTTTGTTATAAATGGTTCATGTTATAATAAACTATCAATCAGCTCCTCCTGTTCTTCCTGCTGATTTAAGGTGTTGTGTTAAACTGAGCAGTCACCTCATTATTTTCTGACAACTGATCATCAACTTTTGTATAAATTTAAATACAGAACTACAGGTTGGTAATACGTRTCACATATGAATAAGAAATAAATGTTTCAATTAAAGTAGGAGCCTGTTATCATTCTTTCTGCCTTCTGTTGTCCCCTCATCATCAGAGTGAAGATTTAAAAAAATGAAATAAAAAAGTTTGTGATTGTCCAGATGAACTTTAAAAGTCCGAGTCATAATATAATCACTCAATATTGAATAATAAAACCTATCACATATAAAACACACAACGAGAGGTGAAACATTATCCCTCTGAGCAGTACAAAGTGGTTCAAGCGAAAACAAAATAATTTTGAGAACAGATTAGAAAAAGTAAAAGGGGAAAATGTTGCTCCTGCTGATTTTTTGCCTTTTTGAAGACAGGAAGCACATGATGTATAGAAATAAATGTTAAAAATGCTGATATGGACAAGTTTAGCTCACATGTTTGACAATAAAATAATTGCTGTATATCTGCAAGCTCACTGTAAATTAGTGATAAAAAATAAATCCAGGCATACGGTATTAGTAGTAACGTTTTTTTATATAGTTCAAATATTCAGTGAAAATCCCAGTAATATACAGTATAATCAGTGTAACCTGGATACTGCAGCTCAGTGATCTGACATGTTTATGAACAAATGCGGTGGATTAAGACCCCCTCTGCTGGTTGTAAATTATTATTACAAACATATAATAAGCAGCCAGTTGTGGTCCATCAGCATGAGTCCTTCAGCATGTGGCAGTAATTTTTCATTCTTTATGAYCCAGTTGTTTGCAGCAAAGTGCTATTTGGAAACAGTCTATAAATAGCAAAAATACTGCAGACATATTTCAATCCTTTCAAGTGACATGATCCACCCTGAGATCTGATCCTACGGCCAACAACTCTGCAGAGTTAGAGAACATGATCTGATTCCAATTTAACTTTGCAGCTTCTTCATCAATATGCCTGACAGGTTTTCTGTCAGAGCAGGACGTGGTGTTCCAGAGGGTTTGAGCAGATGAGCTTTGACTGTAGATGATAGAGTATTTAGAACTATGGATTAACTTTTTATTTTATTTTATTCTAGATTTTAATTATACCAACGACTGGATTACTGTCTCTACCAAACACTTTGTAATCTCCCACTTACTCTTCATATGTTCTATCTGCTAATTAGTTCAGGCTGCTGATGAAATTGAAAGTGAATGGAAACCTCACTAGAATAATAATTACTGACTTGTTAGAACTGAGACTCATTGAAATACTGTTTTAAATCTTATCCATGTTTTATTAAGACTGATATAGGAGCTCATAGGCTTTTGCAAATGTCAGTTCTTCATTAGACTCCATGTAAGAAACATTAAGTCAGGAGGAGGAGAAAATGTTAAACTTTTATTTTCCACAAATGAACACGTGTTTAGGTTTATTTATGCAACATACTTTTTCAAGATGTTCCCAACAAACTGYTCAGATGTTTCTTTTTATGCTAGAGTTTTAGACAAAGATCATCKTATTGACATGTTGAGAAAGAGAGTGGTAGCGGTTTAGGTCAAACCTTAAAAACATCTTCATGTGCAACGTGTTGTGAACAACTCTCAACAAGATTTTAGCTCAATATTTGTAAAACAGACTTTGGCAAATTCATTTTTGTGTTGACTAATTTGAGTCAGCTGAAGCTTATGTTTGTCAGTAAATGTATACCCAGACATTTCATGAAAGTTCCCCCAGTAGTGCTATTTCACTAGCAAACTGGGTTGCCTCCAGCAGGTACTGCTAAAGTTTAAAAAAAAGTATGAGCAGTTTGAGTTTGTGTTGTGTTCGAGTCTCAGCTACATCAAATTTGAACTGAATCAGTTCCCACATAGCAAAATTTCTCTGAATCATAATAACGCTCGATTGAGACACCATAAAAAATGACGGCCCTTTGGTGGCACCAGGTGGTCCGTACATGGGCCAGCACCACACAAACCAAACCGTTGAAATTCATCCCGTGATTCAAGTATTTTGCTAACAAAGTTGAAACCATATTTTTTTTGCAAAGTTTTAAACAAACGTCTGTTAGCGCTCAGAAATATATGTTGGTGATTAGTCTCAGCTACAATCAAACTAAATTGTCAATACCAATATCTGTTAAACTGAGTTAAACCCATTGTTGTATTTTTAAAGTCAGTTGGTTGTGGCAGCCATCTTGAATCAATGTGACTAAAAGTTAATCAGCTGTAGAGGTATACCGAATGATTACTTTTGGCTAGTTTCATTCAAATTTGTTCCATTGTTCATGAAGTGTTTTAGTAAACAAAACACACACACACACACACACACACACACACACACACACACACACACACACGGTCAGCCAGGAAAAAATAAATTGCACATTTAGTATATATTTAGATGAATTTATTTTATATATTTTAGTTATTCTGTGTTTCTCACAGAACCTGTACAAAACCCCACATAAAAGTGCATAAATGTTTTTTTTAATAAATARAAATAAACATGTACAGAACATTGTTAACATTCATTGCGGTAAAAAATAAAATAAAATTAGGAAAATCACAAATATTTCAGAGCCCACTTCAGACACAGGGAAGAACCCTTGCAGAAAATGAAAATAAACACAGATGCCAGACTTGGAAGTGAAAGTAATTTCCAATTTTCTCCATGAGTATAATCAAGCTTCTGTAATTCAGCTTTGTAATTAAATATATTCGTTCTCCCTGACGTGTTTCAGTAGTTTGAACTCTCCTGCATTTATCTTGGTCGTCTCGCTGCTGAAGGGCAGCTCCTTCATCATTTGGATTTCATCATCACTGCATATGGGGGAATTATTGTTTCTTTTAAAATAACTCCAAATAATTAGAGAATACAAATATGGAAGCACAGAAAAAATAGAAAAATATGAAAACCAATTTTCTAATTTAAAGCGGTGCCTGAAGGAGCCTCTTATTGAACCCTTTTTTGACACCAAGTAAAACTTCAAGCATACTATTAAAAAGGGACAGAAAAAAAGAAGTGAAAAGGTCCTTAAAAATAACTTTTATCACAGTTTCTCCAATGATTTCCCTATAAAACAAAAACTTTATTAATATAAAAAAGAAAACAGGGAACAGGTTGTTCACAAACAGATTTCCAGTCAGTTCTTCCGCAGGTAAAAATAAAACATTCATAATAAACATAAAAAATGTTCTTTCTTAATCCAGTGTAATAATTTCTAAACCTCATTTTCCCAGGGAAAAAAAACAAAAAACTTCACAACTTCAACATTGTGCAGGAATTTGCTGCAGGCACTCAGACGCCTCTGTAACATCAACTTAAAGCAAGTGAAGAAACAAAAGCAAAAACTCGTCTTCACACACACTTACATCCCAGGACTCAGAGTGTTTACAGAAGTTCTGCTTCATCTTCGTCATCTTCAGAGCCTGAGGGGCCCTGCCGGACCTCCTCGTACCACTTGTTGGTCAGCGTCTTCATTTGGATCCGGCCGTGTAACAGGTCCTGTAAAACACACAGACAGCTGGAGTTTAAAAACAATTTGCCGAGATGAATTTYTGAAAATGAGGTTTAGGATTTTGCAGTAACTGCAATGATTTGGTCTGAATTCCTCCTTATTGTAACTCCACAAGCCCCCTCTTTCACCCATTTCCTGAGGTGTGTCTCAGCTCAACTCGTTTTGAGGTTGTCTCTTTAAACCCAAATGAGGAGCTTCACATCCAGCCCCTCTCCAGCTTCCAGAGTGGTCCATTCTAGTTTGATAGAGGGGTTTATGACTATATAGAGGTGCAGATTTTTTTTTTTTTTTTACAAATTAATTACGGTAATAGATGTCAACAAGGGAAGACTTGTCCATCCAGCCTTACATGTTGAAGCCAGAGTCTGACCCAGAGCCAGAGGAGAAAGAAGATGACCAAATTGTAATTGGTAAGTCCAGACCATGTTTGTCTGTTTTGTCACAAATACTGTGATGTATTAGTTCAGAAAACGTTATAGAAAATAGAGAAAAGTGAACGGGTTGAAAAATATGACCCAAACAGAATATAAAGATATCTACACAGTACCAGCAAAATTAAATATCTTATTTTCTGCACTCCTAAAGACACACAGTAAAATGCAATTAACAGCTAAAATAGTGGGTTTTTGCATATGTCCCCTTTAAACAACAAAACAAAAAAAGGGAACAAGATACAAACCTGTAACACAAACAATTTGTGGTGGACAACATATCCTACATGTTATATTTGTAGTAATTAGCATTCTGCTAACATCTTTTGTCACCAAAATGATTATAACGTAGTTATGTAATAATTACATGTATTATATGTAGGAGAAATCTAATTCTTAAAAATGATATTTTGAGATATATGTGTAAAGAATTACATGGTCATATAATCATTCCCACTAATCCAAGAGCTACAAAAAGTTAGAATTTTAGCTTCTGATAATAAATGATGCCCAGTAATATTTGGTCCAAGGGCACAATGAGTAAAAAATATACTTAACAAGTAGTAAACTTTCATTCCAGTTGTTCAATAATTAAGAYACTAAATAACCAAATATCTTAAATTAGTTGGTGATGAATTAAGTCTTCTTGAAATACATTTTGATTCCATGAAACACCATTTTTTCCTTGTTTTAYCAGATTTTCTATAGACATGTTTGCTTGAGTGTGTGGAAGTGACAGAGTGTGTGTGTCTGTGTGGCCTTGTTTTTCCTACATCGTGGGGATAATTTTCCCGAGAAACCAGCCTCGTGGGGACCAATGCCCGGTCCCCARTCCCCACGGGTCCAAATGCAAATTACGGAGGCGGGGTTGGGTTTAGGACCATGGTGTGAATTGAGTTTAGGTTAGTTTTAGGGTCAGGTTGGTAACTGTGAGGTGAGCCTTAAGGTTGGTGGTCAGGGTTAGGCTGTAGAAATGTAATGGAAGTCAATGCCAGGTCCCCATAAAGATAGCTTTGTTTGTTTGTGTGTATGTGTGTGTGTGTGTGTGTGTGTGTGTGTGTGTGTGTGTCCGTCCAGAGGCTAACTGACACCTGTCCGCTGAGAAACTTCAACACAGGCAACAGGACAGAAAGAGTGAGTCCACAAATAAAAGCAAAATGTCACTCAAATAGTTTTCTTTAAAGCATCTTCAAGACAAAAAACAGACTCACTGGGTGGACTTTTTATGCCTATAATACTTTTAGAAATCCAAATTATATTGTTCATCCTGAAATCATACTTATTTGATGCAGAAACACACATGTAAACATAAAAAACAACATTAAAGCTCCACTTGACTTGTAATAAATGTTTTCAGACATTAGCTGAACTGAAAGTGTGAGGATTTAGCTTCAACACCAAAAGTAAAACATTGATGAGACGACATCGGTCTGGGGTAAAGTCACAAATTCAACGAGGTTTGCTACAGAATCAGTCCTTCCTGAAGTGTTTGACAACATCAAATTTAAGTCTGAACAGATCAGGACGACAGCGTGGCTTCAGCTCAGGTTACAGCAGATCAGTCAGTTACTTTTAGCATATTTCCAATCAATACACTTGGTTTTAATTGTGCAGTTTTGTTAAACTGAACTGTGTTTCARTTCAAGAAAACTGCAGGCATAACAGCTGCAGTGTGTTTGAAAATGTTGATGCTGCTAAGGGGAAAAATAAAAGGTTTTTAATGGCTGTGTGTCTGTTAAATGTTCTCCTTTGGCTTATGAATAAATTACATTACTCTGTTGAGTAATTGTCATCGTGATGCAACAGTTTCACAAAATAAAATGCTWATAAATGAGCTAAGCATCTGAATCTTTAAGACTCTGTCCATCATTTTGACAAGCAGGCAGAACGTCTATCTGTTATTCTACCTCTGCTTGTCCAGTAAGAGTGTCGCTACAATTTCTCACCAGTTTTTTCCCCCCATTAACTCAAATCCAAAAGCTCATTAGTTTCTGTGTGAGAGGCAAGTCATTACAGCCGAATTAGGTGCAGCAGAAAAATGTACAATAACTCTTACATTTTGATTTCCAAACCAGAATTAATTAAGAATATATGCTGCTTTTTAGCAAATTGTTTTGTTGTCATTTTGTTGTAAAGCTTCTGTGGTCCTGTAATTGTTGGGAGTTAAAAAAAATACTGATCATTACTGAGGATCTTGACAGCGTCACAAAAAACTTATATAAGAGTTAATAGATTCTTATTCACTGTTTGCTTGCTGTACTTGGACTGAAGGTAMAGCAGTGCAACTGGAAACAATAAAATCTGCTTTAGAAATAGTGAGATATTTTATATAATGAAGTGTCTGACAAAAAAAAGACATTTCTCTCTCCTCGTCTCTCACCTCTTGAGTAAGTCTGCGAGTGAAGAAGGGGTTCAGATACTTTGCATCGAGCCACATGAAGCCCTTCAGATCTTGTCTCTGGTAGATGTGAGCTTCATACTCCTCCTCTGTCAGCTCTGAAAGGTGCTCTGACTCGATGGCATTACCCTGCACAGAAAAGATAAGGAGAGAGAAGGGAAAGTCAGACAAATGCAACAAAATGAACAGAGATAGATGGGGGGAAAAAAGGAGCAGCTGAGGAGAAAAACATAGGAATTGTGGGGGAGGCRGGGTAAATGCAGGTAAAAGTTATGACGACAGAATGGAAGAGATGCTCGGGATCACGCAGACAAAGACTAGCAAAGATGGATAAAAAGAGGTTGCAAGAGCTGTGAGGAAAAATGAGTGTTTGATAGTTTGACCTAGCTGCATGTACCTCAAGAGGGTGTTTGGGGGGGAGCACTTAGCTTTGTTAAGACATCAAAGATATAAGTACTGTAAGCCCTGCAGTGGTAAAGTTTAATTAAAAAAAATGACCAATCATCTAACAGTAACACAAGAAACTGAAATATCAGACAATCTATTTATCTTTCAGTTTCTGGGAAATCATATTGACAGAATATATGGAGTGCATGTGTGCAGGGAGAGCGCTTCGCTCTGAGCTGACTCAGTGTCCCTCTCTCAAACCACAATCAGCCCTTTGATGTTTGTCTGCACAAAGAACAGAGGCTGAAGGCAGATGAGAGGACAGCACGGCTATTGTCATCGCAGACAAACCAGCTGTTCAAGTTCGAGTTGTTGTGGTTGTCATTTCATCTCATCATAAATGTGTTAAAATAAAACTGGGTTTCTCTCATTCAGGTAAGTGCAAAGGGTGGGGGGTGGGGGTGGGGCATAAAAGTGAGAATTTAGCAGCGCGTTTGTGCGTCACACCGAAAGGCTTAATTCATTACCATTTTCTGGGTCTTGCTGAGATTAACGTCCTTCTTGTTCTTACGCCTTGACTGGTTTTCTTCTATGTCCATGATGCGGATGAGCGGCATTGTTCCGCCGCCGAGGAAGAGGATGGTGAAGAGCACAATGATGATGGTGGTGGTGCCGATAAGCTGACGCTTCTCTATTGGCTCCAGGCCCAAATGGAGGCTCAAGGCATAGGGAATCGCACCTCTCAACCCTGAAAATAAATATATTTCACATGGAACGGAGGGTTAAGTCTCAAAGCAGTACGTGGAGAAATAGGCAGCTGTAGTGCACTGATTACAACTAGGGGGTCTCCTGATATCGGTGTTTCTCAAACCGAGTATGAGTAAATCCTAATATCAAAGTATTTTTTGAGGTTTTCTCTTTAAAATGACATAAAACATTTCTCATAAAAATAACGTTAACATAGGATTTAGACCTAATATCAATGAGTTACCCTGAATAGGAAGACAAGTCGAGGCATATGTCTAAATGATATCAGGATGGTACTAGGATGTTGTAGGTATCATGTATAAAGCAGGAATCTGAAAATGTGCTGAGGTCATTATGACCAATTTTGACTTTATCCTCAGTTTGATATAATTGGTCAGATATATGAATAAAATCTGCACATCAGCAAAAATTGAATTAAGTCTTTATCCTGTGTGTATGAGGTAAAATATAACCTTATTTTTTATTGTTTTAATGTTTAAGCTAGGATTGTAACGATTCACTCAAGCCACAATTCAATTATTGATTTTAAGTTCAAAATTATGATTATTTTCTATTTTTTTCCAACAAAATGAATTGTAGCCATTTTATGACCAAATATGTTTCTTTTCTTTTAGCATCAGCATTTTTGTCCTTGTATCAAACTGTGACTGTCTGTTATAAAAGAATATATGTTCAGACTAAGTAAAAACGTTATCATAAATATTTTGTGACCAAAAGTTATCAAGTATCAAACTACTTTTTTCTTAAAGACATAACTTACTGTTATACAATAACAATAAAATATTGCATTCCTTGTTTAAGCCAATCATTACTTAGGTGGAAATGTTTAAGAAGCAGGAGGATTTAGAATTAAAATGCAACTATAATAGTATATAATAGTTTATTTACATGGGTGCACATTTATTATTTCAATTATAAAACTAGAAGCACTCAGAGACTGCAAACCTCCGCCAAGTCCAATTTCCCCCATCCTGTAATAGAGTTAATGCACAAAAGCAGAGATGGAAACACATTTGCCAAATAAGTTCTGACGTAGCGAACATTTAAGCAGGCAGTATGCAGGGATTTCTTCCCGGTGGAGTCCAATGTGGAAAAAAAGGTAAAAAGTCAGACTCATCACCCAACATTATTGTTGAAAAGCTTTCACATCGGTGCTACGTGATTCAAAAAAGCAGAGTTTTCATCGCGCGTGTAATCACACAGACACACACGTGTCTTCCTATATTTGTGAGGACCACACACAGCGGTCCCAACCATGCTCTGCGTATTCTTTTTTCCCCAAAGTTTGGCGAGAGGTGGATAGAGGGGCGCACAAATAGCTCTTGACTTGATCTGGCCTCAGTTAAATAATAAAACTGAACAAACAAACAAACAAACAAACAACCTCTGAGTCTGAAGTCCACCGTGTCACTCCTCTTCCTCAATCTTCATCGATCTGTGTACAAGCCTACCTAACAGATGTGGTCTGTTTGAGGAAATGGGAAAAATGGGTTTCATGGTGCAGTCACGCACTTCCTGGTCACAAAACGTCTAAATGCGCACCAAAWGTGTAAAAATGTGAACATTATGGCAAGAATTATTCATCATTCATCTGGTTTTAACATTACTTTTATAAAGTTTGAAATCCAAACACAGAAAGCTGTCACAGTTTTTTACAGAAGCCCTGTGAAAGCATCACAGCTTTGCCGATCTGAGAGGATTATAAGAAAAAAAATTCCTGTATCCGCAATGTGATCCGGAACATCACCAAAATTTAGTGGTGTGTTCCTTGTGCCAGTATCCACATGTGATGTAAATGTCATGACAATCCGTCCACACGTTTTTGAGTAATATTGTCCACAGACAGAACGACGGTCAGACATATTTAGACATATGCGACCGAAAACATTACCTCGCCATTGGCGGAGGTAATAAGTGCTGGTAATAATGAAGTAAAAAAAATGAAAAAGATTTTTAGTTAATACAACAATTTAGGGTTTGAAGCTGTTTGAGACAAACAGTAGCTGAAATCTTTAATCCTTTTTAAATAAGAGAAAGGAGAACATTCAGAACATTCTAACATTTGAAAAACTGAAATAACAAAAAAGTGTCCCTTTGCTTGAGGCAAATAGACACAAAAGAGTTTCTTGTTGACTAATGTCTTTAAAAGAGACCCTTGCTGAAAACATTTTACTCTGGCTCCAGCTAAATTTCAAACACTAACACAGAGAGGATTGTCCAGCATTGACAAACCACAACTATTTAAAGGGTTTCTGTGTCATCTTACCACTAAACCACATGATGAACATCATTTTGGGTGTGATCTTGTGGTCTCTGAAAAAATTTAGCAGGAATGACAGGGGGAAGATGTTCACAGCTCGTCCGAGCAGAACCAGGACCTGCAGAACAAACCGCATCCGTTACACGCATGAAGCTGACCAGCCATCCACACTGTGCTCACAAAAACAAGAAGACTCACAATACACCAGATGACGAAGGAGATTTCAAAATTATGTGGGAAGCTGAAGATGGAGAGCCCGAGAAACGCGAACACGCACGTCTCTGGAGAGAGAAGTTTGAAATGTTTGTAAAATTTCTTGTGTGGAATGAAGAGGAAATGACGARTCTTAGAAGAAAATTACTCACCACACATGAAGGCCACGGTACGCAGCGTTTGCTGCATGAGGATCTGGGTGATGGGGGACAGGTTGTGATGTGTGTAGTGAGACATCACAATGCCAGCAAACAGGATAGACATTATTCCTGTAAGAAACAAGAACATGACATCATAATGAACTCTTCTATGTGGAAAAGAGCCTTTTCATGTGTGCACCCACCAGACAGCTTGATCCCTTCTGCCAAGCCATAGGGCAGGTACGCAAAGATGATCATCATGCCAAACTCCAGTGACGGCGTCTTCCTCAAGTCAAAGTGTTTCAGAAACTAATCTGTTGAGTTAGGGACTTGGAACGCCGGGCCAGAAAAATGCACACAAAGCTACACACAAACACCCACGTTCCAGTGAATGAGTCAGGATACAAGAGCTGAAATGAGTCCAGTGAGGGTTCCCAAAGCGGCAGAACCAAAAAACATTTTAAGGAAATACCCCAGTGCTTGCACAAAGGTCTCCCAGCCTGTTACCATGGAGCTGTCAGAGCGGGAGAAGAAACCCTCTGCTGTGCTGTAAAGCAAAAAATAAATAAATAAATAAGTAAAGGTAAAAATAGAGCAATGATATTGGCAAAAAAGTGCACATGCTATATTGCAACAGTCACGTCTGACAACAGAGGGCAGAAAAACTCTGCTGCAGGAAGGAAGGAAGCAGTCTGTAATAGTGTATGTGTGTTTGAAAGCACAAGCTTGTAATCCAAACATGATGTTTGCTGAACAACAAAAACATATTGTCCTTTTACTGATCTCCTGAAGTGGAACATCATGCAAAAAAAAAAACCTCTTGAAATTATTATCTGAACCACATTCATTTGTACATACTGAATTAGTTTTAGAAAAACACAACCTAGATGTGAACATTTAACGTAATTTATTTACTTTTTGTAAAGTGGTTAATCAAGACAAACACACAGATTACACACTCTGCCTTCACCGATTGAGAATGGACATTGAGATAGTGGACTCTTATAAGTACCTGGGTGTTCACCTGAACAATAAATTGGACTCACAACACAGACACTCTTTACAGGAATACCCTACCTGCTGAGGAGGCTGAGGTCTTTTGGAGCGCAGGGGGCGCTCCTGAAAACATTTTTGGACTCTGTGGTGGCTTCAGCCATCTTTTATGGCATCATTTGTTGGAGCAGCAGCTTATTTGCAGCTGAGAGGAAGCGGCTGGATAAGCTCATCAAGCAGGCCAGTTCTGTGCTGGGCTACCGCCTCAACCCAGTGCAGGTGGTGGGAGACAGAAGAACTCTGGTAAAAATAACAGCAATGACAGAGAATGTCTCCCACCCCATGCAGAGAACTGTAGCTGAACTGCAGAGCTCCTTCAGTGACAGACTGCTGCATCCTAAATGCACAAAGGAGCGTTACCGCAGATCATTCCTCGCATCAGCTGTTGGACTTTTTACAACCATCACTGTTCCCAACAATCTGGATAAGTAGGGATGTCCCGATCCAGATTTTTTGGCTCCCGACACAGTTAAATTTTTTTAATAAGTAGTCTTTTCGATACCGATCCGATAGCTTTATTTCTTTATTTCTTTCGAAGTGACAGGGTTAGTAGAATTAAAGCGAGCCCTGCTGTTCCCACCATGAGAAACATCCAGTTTGCAGATTTTGCAAGATGCAGTTTCAGCATCATTGTTTTCCATTGAAAAGTGTTCCCACACTGTGGACATGGTTGCATACTTGTGTGCATCTTGACTTCTTAACAGTAGTTGTAAAGCACGATGATGCTGAAAACTGTTGCGAAAACTGGATCGGCCCGATCACATGACTAAATCCGATTCTACCCGATTTTCAAAAAATAGCCATATCTGCCACCGATACCGATACTGAGTATCTAATCGGGACATCCTTATTGATAAGTATCCATGTTTGTGTTTGCACATCAAATAACCTTACCTCTCAATCATTACATAAATAAGAAACAGTGGAAATTGTACATCGTTTTTTCCTGTACTGGTCTTAATGACTGAGTTTGAATCAATTTGCACAGACTATGACTCACTTTGCACACACCCCTCGGATCATGAGTTTGTCATGGCTGTTTTTTCCTGTAATTTATTTTTTTTCTGTACAGTATTTTGCCTTATTTTTATTTTATCCAATTTCATCTTAATAGCACGTTACAGTAATTATTATTCTTACTTTTATTTTGATCTATGTTTATTTTTTACTGTTACTGTTTTTAATTTCTACTATTATTGCTCCAATTGATAATGTCACATAGCAATATACTGTTTCTGTGGATTGATGTATGTCTCTGCTGCTGCTGCTACTACACCTGGATTTCCCCACGCAGGACAATAAGTAAGTAAGTAAGTAAAGTTTATATATATAGCACCTTTCATAGACATAAAATCACAAAGCGCTTCACATAAAATAAAGTAAAAACAAGTAAGTAAAATAGTAAATTAAAACATCACCACAGCATTACAATTCATATAAGAATACAAGTAGTAAAAAAAACCACTTATTTAAAAGCCTGTTTGTAAAAGAAAGTTTTCAGATGTTTTTTAAAAGCATCAATAGAATCAAGGCTGCGTATAAGTCGGGGCAGTGCATTCCAGAGCCTAGGTGCAACTGCTTGGAAAGACCGATCCCCTCTGGATTTAAAATGTGTGCGGGGTACCACCAACAACATCTGACCTGATGACCTCATACTGCGAGATGGTGTGTGAAGCTGGATCAAATCTGAGATATATGATGGGGCTTGACCATGTAAGGCTCTAAAAGTTAAAACCAGAATTTTAAAATGAATTCTAAAATGAACTGGGAGCCAGTGAAGAGAAGCCAAAACACGTGTGATGTGAGCACATTTGTTTATGTTAGTTAACAGTCGAGCAGCCGAGTTCTGGACAACCTGACTTGTTTAAACAAGTGAATAGGCTGTTACAATAGTCCAAACGAGAAGAAATAAATGCATGAATGACCATTTCAAGTTCACCTTTTGACAGGAAATGTTTCAATTTTGAGATGTTCCTAAGGTGAAAGTAAAAGTTTCTGGTCAGTTGTTTTGCATGTTGTTTCAGAGACATTGCAGAATCAAATATGACACCCAAGTTTCTGAGGCTGGACTGAACAGATGGATCTAAGACACCAATAAACTGTTCAATCTGAGCAACATTATTTTCTGGCGCAATAATCAGAGTTTCAGTTTTATCAGAGTTAAGTTGTAGATAATTGTTGCTTAACTACAGTTTGATGCTAGCTAAACAATTTGTTAGGGACTCTAATTTATGAAACTCACTTTCTTTAAATGAGCAATAAAGTTGGATATCATCAGCATAGAGCTGAAATTGCACATTTCAGAATTTCTGGATTACCTGTCCAAGGGAGAGAATATAAAGAATAAACAGAATGGGTCCCAAAACAGAACCCTGGGGTACACCACAAGACAGGCTKGTGGTAWCGGACATGATGCCATTTATAGAAACATTAAAACTTCGGTCAGACAGGTAAGATGAGAACCATTCAAGAACAGAACCGGATAACCCAATATGCTTTCTAAGTCTATTGATTAATATCTTATGATCAACAGTATCAAAAGCAGAAGACAGGTCCAGTAAGACCAGAACTGTGTAGTGCCCTGAATCAACTGTCATCAAAATGTCATTGGAAACCTTTAATAAGGTTGTTTCTGTGGAGTGAACTTTGTGAAAACCTGATTAAAATTTATCCAAAATATCATATTTTTCTAAAAAGGTGGACAATTGCTCTCTTACAACTGTTTGTAACATTTTTGATACAAATGGCAATTTAGATATCGGTCTGAAGGTTTTCAAATCAGTTGGATCCAGGGTGGGTTTTTTCAGCATTAACGTTTAAAAAAGCTGGGAACCACACCTGTTAAAAGTGACATGTTAAAAAGATCTGTAATAGTAGTACACTAAAATTAAAAATCTTTTTAATAGTGCAGTAGGAATAATATCGGCGGAGAAGGATGGCTTCATTTTCTCCACTAGCGCAGAGATCTTGGAATGACACTGGTTCAAAGGAAGCCCATGAGTGAAGCAACGGGGAACATGAAAGATTGTAAACAATTGATGGGGAGGCTAAACAACCTGATAAAGAAGGCTGGTTCTGTTCAGGGGACGACTGTGGAATCTCTGGAGATGATGGTGCAAAGAAGGATTTTACATAAAATCAAGAATATTGTGGACAACCCCGACCATCCTCTTCATCAGACTGTCATAGAAAGACAAAGTGTCTTCAGTCGGAAGGCTTCTTCAACTTCGCTGTAATACAGACCGCTACAGAAGATCTTTCCTACMCACAGCCATCAGCATCTATAATAAGTTTTTAGTTAAATGAGTTACAACAACACCAAATTTCCCTCTGGGATCAATAAAGTATTTTTGAATTGAATTGAATTGAATTGAGATGCTTGCCCTAATAATAAAGGCCAATAAAGGCTGATTCTATTCTATTCTATTGGTGGCAGGTGATAAATACATTCACAACCAACAGAAGAGAATATTAATTTATTAATTCATATATATTAACATATATACAAATATATTAATTCATAAACCTTTTGTAATCCTTACTAACTAGCACCAAAGTAAAAATATTCGATGTGTCTGTGATAATAGACTGAGCTCAACGGTGAAGCACTTTGCTAAGAAAGTCACTCGACAAGGTGCTAACAACAAACAACCTGCCAAGCCCGTTCAGGCTATCTATTATTCATACTTTTATTCCACAAGGACACACAGACACATCAGATCACTTAACAGAATTAACTAACAGTAAGAGATAGCCAGACACAAAGTAAACACAAAAGCAAAAGACAAATATCCAGCGACACTTTCACACAAACTGCAAAATGTCAGTTTCAAAGGAGGTTTGGGTAAAACCTGTACGACAAGTTTTTCCTAAATGTAAGCTGACATGGGGCAAACAGAAACGGGCACAAACAGAAACTCTGAACGAGTTGCGGAGTTCATGGAAACATGTATGTAAATATTCAGACATCAAAATATATCTGGAAAGCTGAGTCCCTACAATAATACAGAACATATCTGAACATTCCCACTGTTGACAGATTAATGAAGTTCTGGCTTTGCAGTTGTGAATGTCGATGCACCTTGTGCAAATGCGCTTCGTCAGGTAGTGTGTGGTGACGACATTTTTCCGTTCAAGCAGATAACAGAAACTGCTGCTTTTATTCTCCTCCACCCATACAGTCACCGTGTGTTGCACAATCTTCAAAGTGCATGGAGGGAACAAAAGTTCACATGCCTGACTACGACATGATCGATCTTTGAAACGCTGAGAGGTTGCTGGTAATGTGTGCAGATGGTGAGGTCCRAAAAGATTAACTTGATTAAGAATATTACTGTTATCTTATCAGGAAGCAGTTCGACGCATTATCAGCACATTATCTGTCTCATCCCCCCAGTCGAGTCAATGTATGAAAGAGGCTTGGTTAGAATGTGTGAAACTCCTCCTTCCACAGTGGCAACAACAGCGACAGATTAGTCATGAGATCAGTCACACTATCGCTCACGTGACTTGGTTGGTTGTAGCCTGAAAAAATATACTCTTCTCACCTTTCTAAGGCGAGTAAAACAAAGCAACGGACCCACAATCCAGTTTGCCGATGCAAGACGTCACCCCATCCAAAATGAATGAAAAGCATAACAGCTGAAGCCTGGAGCTTGTACAGATGAATCCTGCTAAGGGAGTTTGCCTACAAAACCTTTTATTTTGTGCTAAATAAGCACTTGTGTTTTGACAGGGGTGATTCATTTTAGCACATCATCAAAAAGAAATGCACTCTGGACCGTGTCACTGCCAATAACACACTACTTTTTGTAACTGACTTTTAAAAAAGGCAAAGCACAAGCACTATTATTAGTGTTTAGGCAATCTTCTAAAAAATGGATTTTATTGGTTTGGATAAACTCTGATTTATCACACGAGACCTAATCTTGCCACCAGAACTGCTTTGCTGCCATTTTATTGGCTCCAAGAAAAAAAATTTCTGCCTGTATGATCAGTAAGGTTAAATATTTCGATAGTGGCGATATGAGTACATTTGGAAAAGTTTTAAATGAAAAAATTTTAGAGGAGTTGCAAAACAGATAACTGACTCAGTACACTGGCTACATCATCTTYGTTGTCACTGAGAGCAAAGGAAAAAAAATTCCAGTAGTGCTCAAAAAAACCCACTTTTGAACACAAACTCTGAAAGACTTTGATGGTTACCATGGAGATTCCTTTTAGCCTTCTTTTATCAAAAAAATATCWAAAGCCCATTTTTGACAAGTTACTTCTTGTGAGGAGGTGGGGTATTTCTAATTTTACTCACTGTGGTCAAATCAAAAAGTATTTCTGCTTTTGCAATAAAATCTCAATGGCAATCACTATATTATATTATATTATATTATATTATATTATATTATATCCATCCAATTGCACAGAAATATGTCAATAATTTAACAAAAATATCAACTTCAGTCAAATAGCTTAGAAATGGGCTGACTTTATGTCACCTTTCTAAATAATTTCAGAAATGTGAAGGTGAATGTACAAATCTTTCTTTTTTCCAAGTTTGTATATAATAAAAGTTAAGGGAAATTGGATTTATCAGTTTATTTGCTCTTATTCTTTGTTTTGCTTGACTTGCCTAATGTCTCTTACAGAGTGCATTCCAAACTTGATATTTTTATGATTATTATCTAGAATAAAAAGTTTATTTGCCTGGGTCAAACTGAATATTTAATACTCCTACTTCCTTTTTAACCCCAATCACATTGCTTTTGATAGGGCAATTTTGGGCTGTTAACGTACCTTAGACTTTGAGCCAAGTACAAATAAATATAATATTTTACCAGCAGTAGTCCTATTTATCGCTAACCCTGTTTCAACATCATGATTGGAGCGTAATGTAGACTAAATTACTGTGTCTTACTTGGTGAGCACAATGGAGACAGCGTCGTTGAGGATACTCTCCCCAAACACCAGCATGTTGAGGACTGGATCCACGTTGAGGGCATTAAATATGGCGATAGTAGCTACAGGGTCCACAGCTGAGATTAGAGAGCCAAATGCAAAGCTACGGTGTAGCAGAAGAAAGTGAGAAAAAATATATAACAGTTTAACATTCATGCTTTCACAGGAATAAGCAACTCTTAAAACATCAACGTAGCGAAAGAACATGCGCTAAACATGTTGCAACTTTAGTGCAGACCTAAAAACATCAAGCCAGTAATTTGTTGCTTCAAGAGGAAGTGTGACTGCTTGCAAAAACATATTTTGTTAAAATGAGACAATAAGATGAGGTTTAACTGGAAATACCATAGCTAGTGAATTGGTAAGGAGTGTTGCACAAATTAGGAATGCCACAGATCCATGTCAGCAGAAATGGGTGCATAGATGCAGTCCTGTTCGTGGACTTCCCAATTAAATGTGGATGAGTTTATTCTTGGGCCACATTCTGAATTCCACTTATTCAAATGGTATTCAAATGATTTGAGTAGTTTGCAAAAAAAAAAAAAATTCCATGAACCAACAGACAAATGAGACTGAAAACACATCCTTGTTGGTAAAGTAAAGGAAAAACAGCCTCCTTAAAGTCAAGACACTCGTCTGACTGAAGGATAACAGGTGACAAAACAAAGGGCCTCCTAAAAACATGGGTGTGGAGGATTTCACTGTTTGTGAGCAACACCTGTGGTTACCAGATAATCCAACTGTCTGGAACTTCTTACCAGAGGAAAAAAAAACACTTCAGTTACAAAGTGTGTTTAGTTTACAGTAGACCTTCTGTCAGCTGGCAAAACAAATTACAAATACTTTAGATTTTTCTCTAAAAGGTATAGTTCAAATTGTTTCAAGTGGGTTCTGAGGGAATGCATAAACAATCAGGATTTTACTTTATGTCATAGGTAGCTTTGAATGACCTCAGTTTAGAGAAATGGTGATTAGTTTTGACTTGAGTGAAGCACTAATGGCTAGTCCGAGTGAGACTAAAAGCAAAGTGAATTGCTGCCATCTTAAAATAAAAAAATAGCACAAATTTAATTTTTTTTATTACATGTTTTTTCTGGTATAAATKTTACAAAATTCTATATGAAATGCTACAGCTTGCTGCTGCTGTCAAAATGTGTGTTAGCAAATAACCATGTAAATAAATGTATAATGTAAAATTTACAAAAATGCTATGAAGTTTTTTGAAACTGGTGATGTTTAAGGAACAAAAACAATCCATATTTTCCTGGCCCTGCACTGATCAGCAAATAGCTCATCAACTTAGTCAGAATTAAGCATTATTTCTCCAGCTAACWGGTAAGATGTTCATTGTTAATAATCTCTCCTCCGAACCAGACTTAAAAGGATCTGAACTATTGCATTAAAGTAATTTGGAACAGGAAGTTTTCCTTATGCCTTTTGTGGGGAAAAATCTAATTTAAAAAATGTATAGAAATGTCATTAAGAAATAATTTGAGTAGAAGGCAGAAACTCACCTATCAGTCATGGTCATCTTATAGATCACATCAGCCTAAAGGAAATAAAACATAGACTAAAGATGCTGATCAGCTACACCAAGAAGATTCTGAAAATAAGAACATTTATAGAGCGGAAAATATTCTGTATAGTGACAGCAATAATATTTTTACATTTATGTATAAGATTATATTATTGTCTGCATTTGCTTCAAGAAAGCAAACTGTAAAACTACRATAAATTTACAATACATATTCAGGTATTATATTGGTCTGAATGCCATTCTTGGWAACTTCAGGGATCCTTACCTGACCAAGAAAATAAATCCCTCCACCAACTATGAATGCAGAAAAAGCAGTACCAATCACAGCAAAGAGGGTGATGGAGCCAATGTTCTGGAAGAAGTTACCCTGAACACACAAACACAGTCGTGCCATGTTCAATAACACAGATTAATAATATGTCACCAGAATTCAAATGTAAAGTATGGTCCAGCACAGGTTTATAGTAAAACCACAATTAAATTTTCATCTTAATAAATGACAGGTTCTCTTTAGGACCTGTTTGAGAGAACAGACYGTTCACCATTCTTGCTCTCGATACTATAACTCATTAACAAAGTAATAAATAACATTTGTATTATAAATATTAATATAATCTAGCTTCTTATGCAACCATGGAAGTGTTGTCCTGTTAGTACGAAACATAATGTGATTTTATGAAATTATAGTTTTCATTTAGGCTATACCAATGTTCTATATAGACTTCATTTGAGGAAAAAATCTAATTAATTCTAAAAATAGAACTATTTAAAGAAACATATCTTTACAGAGTTTAATTTACTTTTAATTGGATCTGTGTTGATAACAAATTCTTTACAACAAATTAGATTAAAAACACAAGACTAAACTTAGATGCCGTCAAAAAGGACATTTAATATAAAGAAACAATATTTTAATGGTCTTATTTTCTTTCTCTCAGTGTTGTTACTTTTTATGCTCACTGGGGTTTCAGTGAACATGTAAATTGCCAATTTTGGCATGTTGTCATTCTTAAGACCTATTAAAATTGTGGCCATCACCTGAAGGCCGTGAGGGTGTAAAAGCTGTTATTAATACTAAATTGGTGCATACCTTGTGTAAAGAGTAGCCCGACTCAAAGATGATTGGTGGCAGAAGCAAAAGGAAGAACATGTTGGGTCGGAACATTTCCTCCTCCTTTAAGAGAAGGACAGAAAGAAAGAAAAAAGTACCTGCATATTTCAATACAAAATGATCTGCAGTAGACAGGTGACAGACTCTAAAATAAGTTGAAGGCTGACCAAAATTGACAAACTAATGAGATACCCAGAAATATATTCACTAGTGTGAAGCTAGAAATGACACAAGGCGGGTCAAAATGCATTTGAAGACATAAGCTAATAAAATAAAAATGACTAAAGGCCAAACTGTGCACACTAAAGGCACATACCTGCCAGCCAACTAACCCAGCCATTCACACAGGCATTCAAACCATGTTACCAATGTGTGCTGTATGCTGAAAACTTATCTTTCTTTTTATCCCCGTCTTTTATCTCTCTGCAAACGCGCACAGAATCCCATTGACCTTAGGCCTGATTATTTCAGCAACATAATGAAATCATTGTTGCTTTTCAGTGAAAAGAGTTCGCTTCCCAAAAAAGGCATTGGCATCATGTGCCCATGTGTTACACTCTGTGCACAATTATAGAAATAGATGTGTGTGTGTGCAGAGAGAGAGACAGAGAGAGAATTCTAGTTTGTGCATAATTCATGCCTGTAATGTATAAGTCGATACACACTCTGCAGTCACTGATGTATAATTTTTTTTTTCTGTTGGAAGAATATAAAAAAAGGGAATTATGGGTATTATGAAACTCAGTTTTGACAGCTGGGAGACCCTGAATCTCACCCCAACAAGCAGACAAACATCTGGGTATGACGGCATTGCATCTAAATTTCCTTCAAATTCCTAAAGCAGCTCAACAGCAGCAAAAATACAGCTAAAACCGAGCCTTTAACAATTACATTGTGTGACTGTTTTAAATCAAATATCCTCTATTAACTAATATGATACTTTATAAAATCTAAACAGACATCAGGACTAGAGAAAGAAAAGTTTTAAAGAAAATATTGGTGGCAGTTTATCAAATTGATGACTTTCAGTGTTTTTTTTAATATCCATGTTTCACTAAACATATCCATTGTAACAAATCACAAGTGGCTAATAGTGTAAAGAACATCACATGATAGTGAAAAATGAGACAACACAGATGGAGATTGTTCATTTAAAGAAATCACACAGATCTCTCACTATAAAGACCAGATTTTGACTAAAAGCTTTTAAAAATATGTCAAGTAAAAGTTGATCTATAGAGACATTGTACTGAGCAACTTAGTCAAATAATACATTCAAATTTCAGGGAAAGTGGGCCAACGATTGCTTCCAGGTTGCCGGAGTTGATGTTACGAAGTTGACATTTTTCTCCACCAGAACTCCACCTTTCAGTCCAGTTTAACAGTGTGGATACAAGAAGGTATGCCATGCATGCACCACAACTTGACATCTACAGCTGTACTTCTGACACATACATGCATGCAAATGTTTCACTGCCACATGTAGGAATGCCTGCTGGAGTGATGGAACAAATAAGAGCGCACAAAATCTTTTAATGCAGGCTTTTATAGATTCAAATAGGCAGGTTTATAAAAGGCCAATACATTTTTTTTTTGTTTTCAAGTGGCTGTTTTTTCAGAATTCTCAATTAAAATGATCAACTAAGGGCATTTTAGATTAACTGGTTTATTGATGTGTTAAAAAAGGCAGAAAATATAGCATTTAATAGTATAAATAACCAAAATGTAGWTCTTTTAGAAAGTCAACACTTATGGCATTTGTTGGAGTGTTGAAGCCTATATTACTATATTCAAAAGGATAATTCAGATGTTCTGTGGAAAGGTTATTAGCATCTAATGTCTTACCCATTGCAACAACCGCCATCTGAAGGAATGGAGTTTAAATCTGATCAAACTGATTAGCCAACAGCTAGTCCAAACAAAAGCCAAGACTAAAGAGCGGTGGTGGACAGCACTAATCCAAAAATTAGCTCCGCAATTTCTAAAGCGCTTATGAAAATATTTAGGTCTGCAGCATCAAAAACACTTTTGCCATAGAAAAACTAGTGGAAGCTAATTTTAAAGCGCAAGTTCAATTTGACACTTACAAGCTGGCAACAATTCATGTACAATATATGCACAACACTGCCAACTAGCAGTGTATTATGAACCCTTTTACAGCTTATTCCTACAACCGACGATTGCTGGGGATGTGATTTCCTGAAACAGAACTTTGGCTCCTGGTGTAAAAATTAAAAAGTTGTTGAGGATTGCTAGTTTGGCTGCTTCTTTGTCTTTTTGTTTTGTTTGTTGTAGTTTTTTCATTAAAGTAGCATCAATAAAGTAAATTTAAAACTGTTTATTGGAAAGCTGAAGCGATGYATTCTGGGTACATGACGGATTTGATTTGTGACGGGAAACGAAAGCACGGAGTACAGGAAACTATCTGCAAACTTCAAAATAAGAGCCTGGATTTTAAAGTTTTCCATGTAGTTGCTCCAGTTGACCACTAGATGTCTGTCTAACCCCGTTGGCCAATTGCTTCGACAATTACATCAAGTATTGAGCTCCAGCGTTTAAATTTTTTTAAATTTTTTTTAAAGGAGCTCCGACTGTAAAGTCAAATAAATCAATATATACAAAATTTCAGTTTGGATTACAAACGTTTACTGTTTTTTGCTGGGAAAGGGAGTTCTAAACATTGCCTTCCTGCTACGTAAGCAGACACAAAGCATTGTAGGAAATCAGAACACTGACCGAATGCAACAGTCAGAAAGGATGTATACTTTTCCAATATGTGTGTTTATCTGGGAGGGGTGCTGTTGGATAGATCACGTGTGTTGTGGTTCATTGACAGCCATACCTTCCGCTGTTCGAGATAATGATGACTGGTAGATAATTAGTTATTAGCAGTACTGCATTTTAATTTTAGAAAACGCAAATCTGCTTATGAATTATAAAAATTAGTAAGACCGCTAAAGCGCAAATGAAATATTTAGGTCAGCAATTAGCGGATTTACGTTTTAGCGGACTGGTGCCCACCACTGCTAAAGAGGAACTGTAGACTTACAACTTGCATTTCAACATTTTCATAAAAGATCATATAAACACAATTTTAAAAATTCTTCCTGGCCACCAGTTTCACATTACATGCTTATCCCAGCAGAAACTTTATAATATTCCTCAGAAAGTGCTCTAGGCTGCACCACACCTGTTTAATGCAAAGCTAGACGTGAAAAGGCTTTGTGYAAAGGTTTATAAAAAAAACACAGTGAACCCACATAAATGACTATGAAAGTTTTGAGACTTGMGTTATTTTACAAGAGCAGCAATTCCCTTAAATCTGGGGTAAGCTCCGTCTAACTGTTGGCGCCTCAATCTAGTGAAATAAAGCACTCTATACTGAGGTTGTTTAAAGGGTCCATATCATGCAAAATCCACTTTTTTAGCTGTTAAATACATTTTGTTGTGCATTTGGGGTCTCTAGGAGTGCAGAAAAAATTTAATTAGTTTCTTCCGCTGATGAGTGGATATCTTTGTATTCTTTTAGGGTCACATTTTTCAAACTTGTTCAGTTTTCTCTATTTTCTATGTTGACATATTTTAATGAATTTGTAAACGAAGAGTTTCTGTGCTACTATATAATCATAACTCCCTCTACCAAACTAAAATGGACCGCTCTGGAAGCTGGAGAGGTGAGGGGCGTGGCGTGCCTCATTTGGATTTAAAGAAACAGGGTCAAAATGAGTTGCTTTGAGACACATGTCAGAAAAGGGGTGAAAAGGGGTCATGGWGTTACAAGGAGGAGGAATTCMGACCAAAGCATTGCAGTTCCACTTTATAYAGATCTCCCACTGAATTATTCAAATGTGGAAAAAGAATAATTTAAAAGCATGATATGGCTCCTTTAAAGTGATATCTACAACAAGCAAGATAGTAATGGCTCATAACGTTTCCATAGAACCCCCACACCAAGAAAATTAAAGTCATCACTTTAAGTACCATACTGTGGGTCAGAATGTTCTGAACCAGGCTCCTATAAAACGAAAAGGGCTGCAGAGTGAACAGTAATAAAGAGATTTTAAACAATGATATATTAATAGATAGGAAAAAATATGTTCTAAAAGAAAAGGAAAGATTTAATGATAAACCCAGAAAGCAAAGGAATGGTATATGCTTCAGCAGTGCTGAGATTGAATCCAAACTTTWAAAAAAAAGATGAATAGTAAAGATGAAGTGAATACATTTAAAAGAACACTGAGAGATAACAGAAGAAATATGAGAGAGAGACTGTAGGGGAGAACATTGTTCAGAGTACAGRCTCTCTGGAGGCTTGGCTTTGACAACCAGTGACATCACCACATGGGAAAAAAGGCCCCCTGAAACCACAATTAAAACTTGCCTCCATGTGTCAGTCTCTCTTTCCCTCCACGGCATGGGAGACATCTATTAAAAGTATGTGCAGCCCTTTGGGGCTTAAAACACACCACTGCAGCCACCGAGGGGAGAAAAAAATGATGAGCCTTGAACAGTACAGACTAGAATGCTTTAATGGCGGCAAGACAAAATTAATATCTGTAATGTAAATATATTCACCTGTTTATCTCGCTCTGCATTTTGCCTAGGAGACCTATTGCTACTGGAGTGTTACTTCGTACCAGCAAGCTATTTCTTCCTCAATCTGTGTCAGAGCACAGGGGAGAAATMGGCAGATGAGAGAAAAGGAAAAGTGGTAAAATATCAGAAAAGCTCATAAGACATCTGTTTATATGCTGAATTTTGCAGGAAGGTGGCTAAAAAAAGGCTAGTTGGCAAAACTGATCAACACTTTTCTCAGCAATTAAGCTTTTTGAAAACTCTCACCTGCTATGTTTGTTCATGCTGAATAAAACAACTAAGATTTTTCCAATTCTTTTAAATAAATTTKCTTTTTTTTCCCCCTGGGAAGACATCTGACTCTCTAAAACTGCTCCAAGTTAAACTTTTCTCGCTCCAACTATAAATCTCAAAGTGTTATTAATTTAGGAAAGCCGAAAATGTAAATGTCTTCTAGCAAGACAAGTTCATACAGGTGGTCGGATATCTGCTGTTTATACACCAATTTTAGAAACTGATATATGAGGATAAACTGAAAACTGTTGAGAAGGGGGATGTCAGTAAATGTGTGTTCATGCTTCATGTGTGTCATGGTATTGTTAAATGTGCGTCTGCATCGTGAAGACATCTTATGTACAAGCCYGGGCAAAAAGTATGGAATCACCAGTCTTGGATGAGCACTCATTCAAACATTTCATTCTATAAAACAAACTCAGATCAAAAACATGATACAATAAGGTCATTCCAAAGTGCAACTTGTTGGCTTTCAGGAACACTCAAAGAAACAAAGAGAAAACACTATGGAAGTCAGTGAATGTTACTTTTATTGACAAAGCACAGGGAAAAAATATGGAATCACTCAATTCTGAGGAAAAAAGTATGGAATCACTCAAATTGGAGATAGAAAATAAGGACACACCCAGTCAATTTCCTTTCCCTAACTGAACACCTGCACCAGATTAGATCTGCTCGTTAGTCTGCATGAAATAATTTTCCAAGATGACAATGCACTGTGCCATAGGGCAAAAACAGTGAAGGCATTCCTTGGAGAAAGACACATTCAGTCGATGTCATGGCCTGCAAATAATCCAGATCTCAACCCAGTTGAAAACCTGTGGTGGAAATTGGAAAAAAAAAAGATCTACAAGAAGTCTCCGACCTGCAAAGCTGATCTGGCAACTGCTGTCAAAGAGAGTTGGCACCAAATTGATAAAGATTACTGTTTGTCACTCATCAAGTCCATGCCTCAGAGACTGCAAGCCGTTATAAAAGCCAAAGGTGGTGCAACTTAATACTAGTGATGTATTTT